TGTGCCGAGAATGAGCACCCAGATGTTGTACTTGCCCAATTTCTCCCATTTTCTTCTCTTCAGCGAGGTCGTATTCGTTGTTGGCGGCGGGACATCTTGCTCGACCTGTTCGACGGCCGCATATGGGGACTTCTCAATATTGGTCGGTGATTGACTCATCTTGGCAAGTATGCGTGAGCTCGCAAAAACTGATGGAAGACTTCACAGAATAAAAAGGCAGCTGCCATCTTGCATTAATACCTGAGTCGATATCAGAGGTGTGTATGAGCTGGCAGCACTGCGCTACAGTGGTGAAAAGCCTTCGGTCTGGCCTGGAGTGCAACGCGGCACATTTAGTCGAGGCAGCTCGCTCATGCAGCGCCACAGCTCGGCTCGTGCATAATGGTCAAATAGCTGGCGATCTTGGCCACAGCTTGTTGTAGCTCTGCGTTAATATGGCACCAGATCTGGATGCGTTTCCAGGGTACACTGCGATAATATGTTGTCGCGTCACGACTCGAAGCAAAATCCCATACATTGCGAGGACCACTTTTTCCCGTAAAGTGTACCAAAATGTCCGAAGTCGATCCTCGCCAGCCTGGTGGTTCTGGAGCAAGGTGGCGCTACCCAAGAGGCCTGAGCACTTCAGCTCAGCAAGCCACGCGCAAACTTTCGCTAAACACCACCTGGGCATGGCCTGGATCGCCGCATCTATCTGCATAACAGCCTTGGCCAGCCATAAGTACTGCACAAAGAGGAAAGCTGAGTTTCATCACGCGGTCGAATTAGGTAGCTAACGAAGTTTGTGATATACCGATGTGGATGAATTTGCTTGGCCGAAATGCTTGAATCGCCATTATAGATTCGCGTGCCCAATCGGTCGGAAATCCTACGCACGGGTGCGATAACCAAACGACGCCTTATCTACAAGCCAACTGAAGTCCATCGCGTCTTTGCAGTCTTTTTTCTGGAGTCCAGAAAAGTGGTTGTAGCGAACTGAGCCGGCGTCGCCGTAAACTTTCCTGCCGTAGAACCAAAGGTCATACCAGTGTGAATGTGTCCGCATCGTTTTCATCCCATAGCACACCTTCTCCACGCATCAAGCCTAATATGAACGCATCTCCCAGCCATCGCCACATATTGCCATCTTCTACCTTTCGCAATACGCAAGGGACATCAAGGCCATGGAGTATGGCGACTTTATCCCCTTCTCGCACTCCTTTTTGCACAAGGGCGAGATGACCAGTGTCTAGAACGACCAAACGTCGCCCAATGAAATGCAGTGCCTTCCTACTAAGCTCAACTCGGACAGCTTGCTCTTCATGGTCATTCATCGCAGGCCCCGCCATAGTTTCTGGCCCAAGTTGATCGATAAGCCCAAGTAGAGCATATATCATGGTGTAGACTTCGGCAATGGATCGTCCTTCAAGAGTGACTGGGGTAGCTCGCTCAAAGCCGCTTTCGTGGCAGAAGATTGTATCGACCATGTCTTTGATGAATGCTGCAACCCATTCATCGTCTGCAGACTTGCTATAAATCGGCGCAACGTGGATCCAGCAACGGCGACACAAGCTCCGGATATCAAGGACTTCGGCTGGCTGAAAGTAAAATTGCTTGATATACGAAGGCATTTCTGCAATGTCTACCACAACCTCGGCTACAGTCCTGCCTTTCACATCGAGACATCTGTCATCTGTTGGACGTGAATGTACATGTATCCTCTCGGCAGATGCTGCATATTGCCCTCGATTGTGAACGTGTGCCATCAATCCTGGAGACGTTTCATGGATAGAAGAACGAAATTGTGGAAACCAGACTGTAGTATCGTGTTCGTAGAGAGTGAGCAACTTCAAGCTTCTCCGCGATTCCACCATGAGCCGTGCAAAGTCTCTAAACACAGTCTCAACCGGCTTTCGATAATCGACGAAGTTGGCTGGGAGATCTAGAGTAATAAAGCTTACATCCGGTCGCTGCTTGCCTGGAGATAAAGCATCCTCGGGATCGCGATGCTTGATATAGCCTAATCCACTGCGCTGCGCTGGCAGATGGTCTTGCCGAACTTGGCGTCCAGGGCTTCCGTATTCGAGACCAATCAAGCCATAAATCTTGTCTCGTGGGTTTCGACATTGCTGGCTTACAACAATCACAGGTAACCATGTTTGAAGTTCGACCATCCCCGCCTGGTTCATCAAGTGTCGGGAACGAGAGATAGTCCCGACAATTAGCCAGTTTAGATTTCTAGTCAGGCTGTTCATCTCCATCACCGACCTCGTTCCATGAATGGGATGCTCAATGGCCTCGGCTTGCTCCACTAAGCTCTCCCATGGCTGGCAATCTTCCCCAACAAGGACTTGTATTCGATTAGCGAGCACAACTTCTTGGAAAGTCCAGAGTCGGAAGAACCACGGTCGCGCGAAAATCGACTTGTCAACAACCCAGTCTAGTAGACATTGTCCATTGACATCCGTATCAGCTGCTGGCTCGTCCGGCAACTTTGCGTTTTCCAGGGTAACATGCGACTTTTGCCCGAGCCAAACCAGCACTTGTCTTGCAGTTCTGTAGATCTCCGTCATGAGTGGTACCTGCCGATTGCGTTCTGTAACATCTTCCTGGTTGATGCAAATCTATCGGCCGGAAGCTCTGTGGTCAGTTATGACCCATATCTGTGCTTGTATATGGATCTGACCTGATCAATCCAGACATAACTGGGCTTCTCCTCGAGTTTTTTTGTCATCAGGATGCTGTGCAGGCAAGTCGCAAGGTCTTCCGTGACACGAAACATACGCTCCACAAGATCCATATCTTCTCCAGTATCGAAAATGATGCCCGTGCAGAGACGCATGTCTCCCCAGCAATAGCTGAGGGCGTCAAATGATGGAGCATCAGCCAAGGGGACTGTTACAAGTCTGAAGCCTTCCAGCACATTTCCTCTAAAGCGAGCGTTTTGTATATCCAGGAGCCGAATGGTTTTGTCTTCGAGAGGTTCGTGGTGCAGGCCGCCGGGTAAGACCTCTGCCAGTCTCATGAGTAGGGGTCTTCAAGCGCTCCTGTAAAACCCACCAAGTTCATGAGACCATTGGGATTCGGGGTCATCGATGGGCCTGTATACTTGCGTCCAGGCTGGCTGCTCTACAAGCGTTGGTTCCTCGTCCGGAAGTTCTGGACTGGGAGACCAGTCGTTCCATTCCCCACGCGAAGTCAGCTCGTGAAATTGAGGATGTCGAGCTGGATCAGCGAGGGCTTTAAGAACCGGCACCCAGGCCTCGAAGTTACGCTTCTTTACTTCTGCGAATACCGACATGAGATTATCGTCAGTAGTCTAGCAGACAAAATTCGGCATTGTCAGTGGCCTTTTGCGCTTGTAAGCACGTTGATGGTGCTGAAGTAATGGCGGGGTCTGCTGACACATTAGGACTAGTGCATAAGGGGGGCCTTATTCTTATCATCGGAATATCTTCCGCTGGAGAATGCATAGTGCCACAGCCGACGCGTTTCGTGGATGCGCGCTCAACGGCACAAAATAATGTAACATGCTTTCACAAGCCCCCTTTCCACATATCGTCAAAAGTCTGCTGGGCTAAAGAGCCTAGGCAAACTGCAAATATTGCTTGCGAGTCTCTCCAAAATGGCGTCGACCATGAGAGCCATTGTGATTCGAACTCCTGGAGGACCAGAAGCGCTTAAACTAGAGAGGATCCCAGTTCCTATTCCTCAAGCTGGCCAGGTGCTCATTCGCATCAAGGCATTTGGATTGAATCGTTCCGAAATATTCACACGCCAAGGCCACTCACCTTCCGTTCAATTTCCACGCGTCCTGGGCATCGAGGCAGTAGGGGTCGTCGCGGCATGCCCCGGCGGTGAGTTCAGTAAAGATGACGTTGTTGCTACCGCAATGGGTGGCCTCGGCCGTGACTTCGACGGCGGATACGCAGAGTACACATGCGTTCCGAGCAAGAACGTGCAGGTTATCGACAAGCACGTCGCCAGCAAGCTGGGATGGACGACTCTAGGAGCTATGCCTGAGATGCTGCAAACTTCCTATGGCTGTCTCTTCCGGGGACTAAAGCTGCAGAAGGGCGACAAATTGCTGATAAGAGGAGGCACGACGAGCGTAGGGCTTGCTGCTGCCGCACTTGCAAAAAACCACGGAGTGGAAGTTGCAGGGAGCACACGAAAAACAGATAGCCGCACTGCGGAGCTCATGAAGCAAAGTGGCGTCACCCATGTGCTTCAAGATACTGGATCAATGACGGAGAGTTTACGAAAAGAGTGGCCAGGTGGTGCAGATAAAGTACTCGAACTGATTGGAACAACGACTTTGAACGATTCGCTACTCTGCGCTGGAAAGAATGGTATCGTGTGTATGGCAGGGATCGTTGGAAATGAATGGCACTTGAACGGCTGAAACCCCATGGAGAATATTCCTTCTGGAGTATGCCTGACGAGCTACAGCGGTGGGCCTGATGACTTTCTCCAAACGCCTCTGGCTGAACTTGCGCAACAGTTCATTGATGGTGACTTGAAGCTGCCGATTGGCAAAGTGTTCAAGCTGGAGGATATTGTGGAAGCGCATCGTGCAATGGAGGGTAATCAGGTCGGCGGGAAGATTGTCGTGCTAGTCGATTGAACTCTTCGAAAAATGCGAAATGCGAAATGCTCGTTCTATTCTCTCCTTTCTGTAATGAGTACGCATGTTTATTGCATCCGTAGACGGCAAAGTCCGATTTGGAGATCGTGGTGATCTCGACTTCGCTAGATCCAACACCAAGATCTCCACTTAGCTCATCCTGCATGCCAGAGCAGTGGAGTCGTATCCACCATACTATCCATGTCACATTCCCCTGTTCGACGGTAGAACCCATCTGGCGGTCATGCTTGAATTATTTCCACCATTATATTTGACCTAATTTTGGAATTACGTCATCAAACAACCCAAGCGCGATCATCAGATCGCATCACTCCGCTTGGTGTAGTTGGTTGTCAGTACTCCCCATGACTATCTGCCTCATACAGTCTACTAACTTCACTTAGTATCACGTTCGACTGTAATATTACTTTGTAATCGAAAGGTCCCTAGTTCGATTCTGGGAGCGGAGATTTTTTTTGGCATTTTGATTCTTACTATTAGGGTCGGGATTCTGCGTTGAAAAGCGTCAGAAAAAACCTTGCGAGCAAAGCATACCGCTTAAGGTCATTAGCAATAATATCTTGGCAAGGTGAATGCTATTTTTTGGTATCTGTGTTGTATCTTAGTGTACATGCGAACCAATAAGCGAGATCGCTGAACATTTAACTACCATTCGTGTTTTCTGCCACCCTCCCTTGTCTCCAATTTTTGTTTGAATTGAGGGATTAGCCATCTTCAATAACCCGTCCTGTCTTCCGGCGGAGACGATCGCCGGAGCCGCCTTTGATTAGGATGCTTGACCTTCGAGCATACCGCCAATTCTATGACATCACAGTCAAAAGATGGCGGCCGTGAATGGATGAATCCTACACTCCGACCCTGTCGAGGAGTGTAACTTGCCAACATGCCTCAATCGGAGTTGGGATGAAGTGTTATTATCACTGACTCGATCTCCGAATGTGGCGCGATCAAGCTCGCGATGTCGCGCTCCACCATCCACTTCCCGTGCAACCAATCTCCGTCTGAAAGACGGGCCAGCATGTCTGCGTCCTTGAACTTCCGCGTAGACTTGAGCTCTTTTAGCACCAAGTACACAAAGTAGGAAACACTCCCACCATTATGTCCACCATAGAGTGCTGCGTTGACTGCTTCGTAGATGGCTGACTTGAGGGTATACTTGCCATCGCCTTTAGAGACTGTGGCCTCGAGTATCGCTTGCGCGTAGACGTTTCGGTATTCATCGAGCTCCCATGACATGTGAGGCTGTCCCTAGGTTGCATAGTCGGGAGCCCAATCGGGTGTAAGGAAGGCTGGAAGCGACGCAAAGCCAATGCAGCGAGGAGCAGCGCGGCATTTGTCCCAATCGATGATACCCGTTACCTCCCCGGTCTCTGGGTTGCAGAGGATGTTCTGGAAGTCGATATCGTCATGTCGTAAAACAAAGGTCTCTTTCGTGTCTCCAGCTTTGACTGATTTGTTGAATGGAGCGCTGTCGAGTATAGTACACATGACATTCCGTCGAGCGTTGTGAATATCGCGGTTCGCACCTTCTTCATGGGGCCACTTCTCATCCAGCGCGGTTTGGAAGTATTCGCGGCTCGTAGCGAAGGAAGGAACACAGTTGATCGATGCTGGAGTCGACATATCCTCTTGTTTCAGCCTCACCAGATCAGACACTGTCTTCCAATGATATGTGGGGCCAATGGAAGGCATATCGAAAGTATCGTCAAAATTAAGCGTATTTGCTCGGTCGAACTCGAGTGTCTGAAGTTGGGCCATAGTACGAGCCAAGGACCGAAGAAAGTTGACGCGAATGTCGATACGCTCCTGACCAGCCAGGTATGCCAATGCCACATCGTCGCCATCGGCATCTTCATCGTCGCCTTCGGTATCGTCGTCATCATCACTGTCCTCGTCTCGATCAAACCAAATTTTGTTGGCCGGGACCCCTTCATTCGCGCGCATGAGAATGAAGGGTGCCCCAAGAACGTTGTCAAGAGCATTGCTAAAGGCCAACACTTCGGGACAAGGCAACGATGTGTTCTTAAGAATATATTCCATGGTCCGAGCATCGTTTCGCAGCATGTATGCGTCTGAGTCTTGCCAGCGCTGTGCTGTACCAGTGCAAGGCACCTTGATAATCCACCGCCCGCCATAGATATTGTGATCGTCATGGACGTCAATCCTAAGGATTCGCACGAAGCTGTTACCACCTTGTATTTTGTCTACACACTGGACATCGTCAAGATTGAACTTGTGACCAGTTGGTAGATGTTCAAGTAGTGTCTCTCGAAAGCGATCTTCCGGGATGGCTCGAAGCGGTTCCCAATCGGCCCTGAGCACATCAGGGTCTACCATGTCATCCCAATCGTCGTCACCATCCTCCGATGAGATGGAGAGTGCACCTGAAGAAACCACCTTAGGGTTCTCGTGAGCCAGTTCCCGTCGTGGCCTTGTTGACCGCGCACTTCATTGACTTCATGACCCGAGATTGGGCAAGGAACCGCATCCTGGTCGGCATGTTTGGTGACCGTGGTCACAACTTTGATCTGCGACGGGTCCTTGGCGGTATAGCTGTCGGCGATGGTGCGTGAATCGTTGAAGCCTGTGCCATTCACGGGAGTATGCGTTCCGTTATCAAAATCATTGCAGCTCTCGTCCACGTGATCCTGCGGTTCCAGCCCAGTGCTTATGGCGTCGTTCTCTTCGGAAAGCGAAGGGATGACTGTGCCGAGTTCCTGAGAAATGACATGAGTCACTGGAGCACGTTGAAATACAATGGGGTTGGTCTCAATGGACGTGATGTTCGAGAGCCGAAAGGAGGCGTTTTCGCGAGTATCTTCGTTGGGAACTGCTGACAATAACTCCCCGTTACCGTGGCTCGCGCCAACGGGAATCTGCTCGAAGCAAATCGATGGCTTTGGTGGGGGCTTGACGAGACCGCTGAAAATCCTGCCGATATGCTGGGCCATCCTTGCGACAATTCTGTGACCGAGGACAAGGGAAGGAGTGGGGAAAGCTGCGCACGTTCACAATCATATTCGCGCTGCTTCGATCGCCCCAGCAGTCCGAGTAGCTTGCGAAGACCGAGCATGCCGGTTGAATTCTTTAGTTTGGGATGAACGTTCTGTCCGGCGGGCACTGTTGACTGTAGCAAATGAAGGAGTTGATGTTGGACCTCTGGAGAAGAGGTACGCGGACTAGATTGGTCGACGTTGCGCGATAATTATTAGCAAGGGCCACATTGTGCGCTGACTGTCTACGTGGCTGTGAATTAACCACGTGAGATTCGAGCAAACGGTCAACTTTCACGCCGCGTGTAGCACAGCCGTGTCGCTTCCGTAGATTTATTCAAGTCAGCAATATGCAAAATGTATCTCCTGATCGCAAACCGCCCTCAACCTAACGAAGACCAATCAACCCAACATGCCGAGATACTTACGAGGAAGCGAGATCGATTTGGACGAGGCGTATGGACCTCTCCTTAACAAGAACACCCACCTGAGCCGCAACATACGGACGGGGATGTCCATGAGTCGCACACATCATTGCGAGGATCCAGAATGCGGTGGCAAAGCGCCTTCGCGCAAATGCATACTGAGAGGGCATTTCGCGTTCTGTCTTGCTCCGGTAGTTGATCGGGACCATACTTCGACCACATTCAATGAAGTAACCATACACGGCGAGCGCTTCGCTGTGCTCTCGCCTCAGGGTTGTGCAGAACACCACTACACAGATGGCTACAACGTCAATATCAAAGACGCTCGCAATGGCCGACACAATTTCCCAATCGTATGGAAGAAGCGACTGGAGGGCTTCAGGGCCCAACACGAAGCAGAGATAGCATATGAGGCCGAGAAGCGCGAAGCCATGCACAAACGACTAGGCATGACTGGACATCGGAGGCAGACGATGCATGCGCGGCATGATAGAGAAGAGTACCTGCGGAGACGAGACGCAGAAATTGCAGATCTGATGCGAGATGGGACAAATATCCTGGCCGAGAGTACCACAGCCCCTCTACCAACCGAGGAAATGACGCGCCATCTATCCAAATCTGAGGTGCGGGAAGCAGGAGAGCTTGCAGTCCAAGTCCGCGCCGTCCCATCAGAGGAGACGAGACTTGTTGCCACGCCACTGTGGCTATACAATGAGCTTTTCGGTAGTCCAAATGACGCAGCTATGGGTCTGGGCGAGCTCAACGAGTACGCCGGCCTAGATTCCTGTGCGCCGAGACGCAGGAGGTAGCTATCCCGACAGAAGAGTGGCTCCACGGGCAGCTCTATCCCGGTGCGGCCGGTGTTGAAGATGAAGAAGAAGAAGTCGAGAATGGGAGCCCAACCAATCCATCTTCGACAACTCTCCAACCTCAAGATGGCTATCAGAATCAAGCCGCAGTAAGCCTCATATCTGGTCCACCGCGAAAGAAAGAGAAGAAAGAGATAAAGAAGAAGGAGACAGCCAAGGCGCGAGCTTTGGCACGCACGAAGGCCGAGGAACTAGCGAAGAAAGAGACGGAAGACGAGGAGCTGATGCGTGCGCTTAGATCGCAGAAAGGAACGCAGAAAAGTGCCCGGAATAAGAGGGGTACCGGGGCCGGTAGAACAGCATATATCTGACCGCTGGGAAAGATGTACCCGATGAGATATGGGCATATACGCCATCGACCCGGCGGTGCTTCTGCAGGTCCTTTCTTGGATGACTTTCATCGCACCGCCGTTTCTGAATTCCGAGAGATTGACTGAATACAAACAATCAAAAAATTTATGAGTATACCAGCGAGATGGATGCCATATAATAGACAACGATGTGATGTACGTGAAGAGATTCTACTCAGGTTCCAAGATTTGATCGTTCTTCGCGTTGTCAGCTTGGGGCGCTGCATAGCTGCATTGTTTGCGTTGAAAATCGAGCATACACGCTCACATCGCTATGCACGCAATAAATTTGAGCTTGCCATTTGTTCGAACGGGAACAGTGCGTTTGGTACTTGGTACAGCAAGCAAAAGTGCGGAGGTGGAGGTTGGCCGTGTCGGCTGGGTAGCAAGCACAGGCCATGACGCTAATATCACAAGCACAATGATGTTGACGACCGAGGGCATTCCTCCGCAACTCTGCCAGCTTCCGTCCACCCGCTTGTTCTTCTAATCTTGGCGATCACTGTTATAAGAGCAGAACCTGGAGTTTTTCCGGAACAACTGCTCCATGAAGTAGCGCTCGCGCTTCGCTTGACCATGGCTGCAGCTACTCATCTTAGGCACACTGTGCAGCTTCTTGGCATTTCCAGCGCCTCCATGGATCATGCCAACAAGCGGTATGGCGTCGCCCAGGAACCTGGAGTAACGTGCGCTCGCATGACGATGATTCCCTGTTCGAGTAATCTGGAGCCCCGCACACAGATCTTCGTAGCACCAGTTCCTGGGGATTCGGGCGAATGAACCCCGGAACCGGCTTGGCTGACCGAAGCACC